CCATCATCATCATCATCACCACCGCCATCATCATCATCATCATCATCATCTTTTTTTTTATCATCCATCATCCATCATCCATCATCCAGTTCCATCATCCATCATCCATTGTGCATCATACATCATGCATCATGCATCATGCATCATCCATCATCCATCATCCATCATGCATCATGCATCATGCATCATGCATCATCCATCATCCATCATTCATCATTCATCATTCATCATTCATCATCTTCATCATCACAAATCACCATCACCATCACCATCATCATCATCATCATCATCATCATCATCCTCATCCTCATCCCCATCCTCCTCCTCCTCCTCCTCATCATCCTCATCCTCATCCTCATCCTCATCCTCATCCTTATCCTCATCTTCATCATGACCACCACCATCATCATCATCATCATCATCATGATCATGACCACCATCATCATCATTCCACAATATCCTCAGATCACTGTTGTTTTTTTAAATAACTTTTTGCCATCCCCATTACGTCCCAATGCTGTGGGTTATACATATATCCCATCCCATATAGTATCCCGCTACATGTCCTATAACATTCCGTTATACCTCCATCAAGCAAGCATAACATTTTTTGGCTTCATACCCAGTTATTGTTGGTTTTTGCATTAAATATCCACATGATATTCCGTCCCCCAATTTTCTTCCATCATATTCCGATTAAACCTTCATTAGACACCCCCATTCACATCTCCTTGTGTTCCATATCCGATTCAGTATCCCCATTATATTTTGCTATTGCTATCCAAAAATATTCCACGAAATTGACATCCTACATTCATTATCCCTTTGTGTACACTGCTAATATCCCCATGAAATATGTCCGTAATATGCCATATACCATTAACTCCCTTCGGGACATATTCTCATTACATTCCGTTATGCTCTCATTAGTATTCCATATGTATCATGTATATCCCATGATATTCCCATATTTGTTGGTTGTATATCCCCCCAGTAAACTGTGTAAACTAACATAGATGTGGAAAATCCATTATCTGTAGAATATTTTCATTGGGAAAATGGATTGTCCACATCTACGTTCGTTTACCCTAGGGTATCCGGTGATCTTCTCGTCATATCTATTATATTCATTTGTTGGTTTATACCCATACATATACTGTGTGTGTGTCTCTGCATCACTGTAGTTGCAGCCAGGGGTGCCACCGATTTTAGATTCATTTGCTGTCACTAGAGTTCATGCATCAAGCGTTTTTGTTTCCAACAGTTCCTCTTATGTCATAGCCATGGTTAGCAGGGTTGGCATGCAATTGGGCGTTTGGTGTGCTGGGCCCCCTGTTGTCATGTTTCAAAACGCAGCTCTGCTCTTTGGTCGTATGAATCAGAATGGGACAAAGCAGGAGGGTTGTAGAAGACGGCGTAACCATTGTTCTCAAAGCAGATTCAAATATAGATAGCAACGGGAGACAAGCCATGTAAACTCATGCTACAATATATATCATATAGGTATAGCAGAAGCTCCATCAGCCAGACAGTTTCAGTAGATCCTTTACTCATATCAGTAGCCGCCGAAGCTGTGGCCTGCTTGGCAGAGAAGAAAGTGACAGAACTCCGTGCAGCCCTTCTGGTGAACCAAAAGCAAAAACCAAATTGCCAGCAGCAATCTCGCAGAGAAGCTGCCTCGCTTCTCAAAGGCGGCTTTTCCTGCCACTCTGAGCGAAAAGTTTTGGCCGTCTATGCTTTGTCAAACTGGGGTTTGAGTTTGGCTCTGCGAGCGGCACAGCGGCTGTCCCGATTGCCCCAATGTTCTGCAGCATTTCCAACATCAGATTTTGTCAGGGCTCTCTTTTGCGGCCACAATTGGGAGGACTTCTTGATGTTACATGATGAACCTGCCCGGAAGTTTGCACCGCAGTTCCTCCTGGAACACGATGCTTGGCGTTGGGTGAAGCCTCAAAACTTTTCTCAAGGCGTGGCACCATCAGCGGCAGATGTGTTTCATTACTATGAGAACAAGGCGCTTCAGGTGGAACCTTGTGGACAGCCTCGCCGGAGGACTGCTAACAAATGGGCTGCTCGTTGGCGGGCACGGTGGGGTGTTCGCAGGGCATGCCTGCGGTCAGCTGACACAGTGGATCCCAGCATTTCGCGGAACAAGGCAAGAATGGGCAAAAAAGCCGGGTCGCTTTTTTGGAACATTTTTTGTTTTAAAATGAAGGCATCCCTGGTTTCTAGGGCCGCTTTTTGGGACACAAATGGGTCGCTTTTCTGGGCCCCCAAGACAGTGACTTGAGCCATTTTTTTTGAGGCCCGAATCTTCGTTTTGCCAGGTGAAGGCGATCCATTGCCTATGTGACCGAGAAATTTAGCCACCAGGAACTGGTTTGGATCAACTTCGATTAAACTTCTGTTCCTTGCTGTCCACGATGTCCGAAAGGTTGCGTGGTGAATGACTGGAAGTCTTACACAGAGCCAGGGGGTCCACAAATGCCGGTCCCCAAAAGTCGGCGCAGGATCGCCTACACATACGGGGCCTTGCTTTGCAGTCATCCGGGCATTCAAGCGGTGCTGCCGCACTTCCTTGTTTGCAGCGAGAAGAGGCTTCCCAAGACTGTCGCCAAAGGTTTTGCAGCGCTGCCACCGACAAGGTTGCGGCTTCTTCGCAGAAAATATTCTTGGGTGACAACAGATTTTATGATCCGAATTTTGGCAGATGTGAGAGAGGCGCTCCAGCCTTGGCTTCGAATGGTTAAACCAATACTCGTTTTGGACACAGCATCTCCTTATTTACAGCATACAGTGACAATGTTGGTGCGCCAGCATTGTTGACAACCAATTGTTGAAGGACGAAATATATCTCAACAATCTGTAGCAGACAATCAATATTTTTGATATTGTTGCATATTGTTGCTGCGCCAGCGTTGTTGGCTACCAATTTTGAAACATTTTTGTAAATGGGAGCTGCCCAAGGCTCTCCGCAAGATAAGCGTGGTGAAGATCCTGCAAAAGAAACTCAGTTGAGCACCTCGGCAGCTATGGCAAGATGTGGCATGTGCAAGCTGATAGCAGCTGAATGCACATACGAATGGTATATGATAAATCCTTTTGAAAATGCAGAATGATTTCAGCTTTGACATGCTTTGACCATATGGAGCTTGCTCTTGTCTCCATGTCTTGGGATGTGGCAAGGCCAACCGAAAGACCTCACTTTGGTTTCCGAGACGCCTGAGTATGTCTCGAGCACCTTCAAGAAGTTTTGAACATGGCTTCCACGTCTCGCTGAGACTGACATGGCAGGATATGAGACATGGCTACGAAGCTTTTGCAGCGATCAGATCGAGGATGGCAAGGTGTCGATCCTTCTGTGCAGTCCTGATCTGACAGACTGTGTGGGATATCGCAGAGTGAGTCACGAGGCCATTCTCTCCAAGGTTTTTGGGTACCTTCAGGACTCGCTTCGAGTTTTGAAGAAAGCAGCCTTCTCGTTTTAATTGGACCTTCTGTGCTCCATCATGCTTGTCTATTTCAGTACTTATCGGTTTTCAAAATTTGAAGATCTTCATTTTCCACTGTTTATAATTTGGGCAGCAGGACCAGAAATGGTATGCAGACAGCCACCTGTTGCTGCTTCCGGCCAAGAATGACACACAGCGTGCCTTTAGCCTTTGCTACCAGCGTGGTCATATAAGGGCTGGTGCGTTGCACGCTCTGCTGAAGTATTGCTGCTTGGCATTGAGCTTTTGGCAGCGTGCTTCAAATTGGTTGCAATTCTCTGTCTAGCAACAAGCATGCATGACAACATGAGCGCGCAGCACTTGAGATGCCAGTCGTGAGCTGATCACGCAATTCTCTTAACATGCCAGGCTTCTGCACTGGACAGCAGTCCCTTGTCCAAGAATGGGAGTGGTTGAAGAACATGGCCAGCGTCGTCCCGGCACGGATTGAGGACATGACAGGACAGAAGGCGGCGATAAAAGGCCTTGCTGGCTGCATTAAAGCAGTCAAAGGAACGACCAGATACAGTTGGTCCGAAGTAATCCTGTCATTGCGCACGGAAGGAAGTTTCCTTTCTGGGATGACACCGCAGCAGTTTAAGACTCGGCTTCAAGAAGAAGTCTTGCAGAGCTTGTGCGAGAAGGCATTCGACTGGCGGCGTTTCAACGATGCACCTCATCCTGACTGTGACAAGTTCTTCTCGAGATGCTGAATGAGTGTGTTCCTTTGAGATTCCCTCAAGAAATCTGTGAGGATCTGCTCATGTGCAAGTGTTGGTTGTTTCTCTGCTGATCGTAGGCAAGCTGCCTTATTTCCTTATTGTGTGTATTTTGGGATTTCTACCCAAAAAGGTTGATGTCTTTTGCCAAAAAGAAAGGTTTTCAGCTTCTTTTTGTGCCAGCTTCCAGCACTGGCCTGCTACAGCGGCTAGACACCAGTGCTTTCAGTGCATTCAAGCATTGGGTAAAAAGAAAAAAACCAGCAGCTGCGGTGAACCGCAGCAGCTTGAGTTTCTGTGGCAACTGGGTCAAGCTCCTCGAGAATTTCTCGCCAGCAGACAATGGGCCCACGCTTTCGGAAGCTTTGGGTGCGGGC